CTCTCTCTCTCTCTCTCTCTCTCTCTCTCTCTCTCTCTCTATATATATATATATATATATATATATATATAAAATTAGTCTTGAGACATATTTTAAATTAGACAAATTAAAATTAGATAAAAATGATCATCATAACAATGTAAACTTACTAGACTTTATTTCAATCATCTATTTTTAATTTTGAATATAATTTAAATAAAGGATTTTTGTTTTGAATATCTAACTCATTTGAGTGATCTGATTCAATAGATAATTGATACTTATCAATGTCTTAAAAGGAAAGTAAAAAAAAAAAAGATAAAAAGGGGAGACGATAAAAGAGGACGAGAAAAAAAGAAAGGAGATAAGGGGAAGCATCATAGAAAGAAAGAAAATGAAATGTGTCCCTAAGAGAAAAATGCCGACAAATGAGGGAGTTGTAAAAGCTGTTTAGAGTATCTATGATGAGAAATGGTGCCATAAGCCCTAATGGAGGACAGCATCACATGTTTTAATAGTTATTTAGGGTTTTTTAATATAATATTTGGATCATATTGATTCACTTCTGTATTTATACGTATAGTTCATTTCAAATTATATTATTTTGAGTGGTACAATGATCATTAGTTCAAATATGCTCATAAGTTTAGTAGATTAAGTCATGATGATATTTCCATTTATTTCTTTCTCTGAATATTCTACTTTTATTTCATAATAAAAATAATAATAATGTAGCCATGAGTTTGAATGTTATGAGGGTTTGTATGTTATGGTGACCTCAATATCGACCATAAGAGATGATGGGCTCCGATGTTTATGATTATCTTAATGGACTCTATAATTGAAATCGGAGCCTATATGGATCGGTTGAAAGATGCTATGGTCCATTAGAATTCCACCCCAACTCACAAATATTATTTTTAATATTTGGTTGGAATCCATTCATTTTTGAACTAATTTAAAATTTGGATGGCTCAAACCAATTAACCAAATCTATGGATCAAACCAAAGTAAAAAACAGAGAACAAATTTGTAGTGATTTGAAATTTGATGGATCAAACCCATCAACCGAATCTACGGAACAAACCAAAACAAAAAATTGAAAGACTGAAGAGTACAATTTTAAAGAAATTGAAATAAGAAGACGGTGAATTATAGAAAATTTATTTATTTATTTATTGACTTAGTTCATAGGGATGAACTTACAGAGTTTTTTACAGTATGTTTTCAATAATATCATAAAACACTATAACATGGTACATAAATATTAAGATATAGTATTTTATGGTATTATTAAAAATACCATAAATATTGTATTTTTATAAAAAAAAATATAAAAAATACTATGTTATAATATTTTTATTATAATATAAACTTTTTACTATTATTAAAAAAATTATAGTATAGTTTAAGAATAGTATAATTATATTGATTCATCTTTTATAAAAAAAACACTATTAGAAAATTGACGTATTAGATAAAAAAAAAATGCTATTAGTAATTCGTTCTTAAACTTTACTTTTTTTTTTTTTTTTCTTTTCGTTCATTTTCTGCTGCCTCAGCAGACTTAATTTATTGATGAGGTGGGCCCATCGGAGACTTGAGGAAAGAATATGCGTGAGCATTTGAGCGCATTGCGCGATTATTTATTACTATGTTAGAGGCGGCGGTTAAGCGTTGGAGTCAGTGCCGCTGCCAAACGGGAATAGAGTCATGATTGGAATCAGGGATTCGGGGTGGGGTCCAGCGGAGATGATGTCGTGGGTGTGTGGGAGCCTCTGTTCGGTACGAGGCATAGGAACGGCCAATTAATATCTATGGGGATGCAGCCACCGCCCCATGTGAGCGCGCGTACCTTCACGACGCAAAACGGGTCAAGATAATTAATATATCCCAAATCCGTCGCGAAATATTTCCTTTTAAACAAATCCAAGTCATGGTTATTAATCCTAATTTACTTCTCATATTAATTTTAATTTAGTAATTAACTCAAGTATCTTTTTTATAAACACAAAAAAATTATTAATTAAAATTATTTAAATAATCTGTTATTATATTACAAAATTAGATTAACTCGATTCATACGGATTATCCAAAAATCAATTAAGTTAATTGGTTCATTCTAATTTTTCAAAACATATGATCCGATCAGTAAATGTATCGTTCAAAGTCCTCAAAAAAGAAGATTATGTGTGATTTGGTACATACATGTCATGCACTAAAACATGCCATGGGTGGTGGATCTGACCACTATCACTATGAATCACTACCGCTACACGTTCATCCTTTTTCCTCCTTCCTATTCTAATGAATTCTTCTCTTTACAGTAACTTCTTTGACTCTCGATTGGGGGCCTTTATTGATTCGGGACAATTACCTCATTTTTTACGATCCTTTCAATTTAAGATGAACAAAGATAGATTGAATGAATTACATCTCATTGCTAAGAAGTCAGTTTAATTCAAAATTTTAGTTAATTTAATTTTTTGGATTAAAATTGGTATTAGCGTGCATATTTTATATATCAAAACATAATATTTGACTTCATATATATTTTTTTATAAAGAATATATATTTTTTTAATTTTTTTATAAGACAAAACAAACTAATCAAAATAATTATAATAATAAATAAAGATAATATATACGGCAAGACCTTCTTTTTTTTTCCTGTATATTCCTTCCACAAGTCAAACGTCACCCGTCGCAATTTGGTGATAATCATAAATTGCCTGTTCTTTCACTAACATCATAATCGTATTATAAGACTAAATTAATTTTTCGTAACTAATAAAATATTAAAATGTTTTATTGATAAGATAAACAGCATATTAAATTCGTTCACATGAAATGCGTAACACGTCATGTCAATTAAAGAGAGAGGACACATCAAAAATAATAAAAAGAGTCGGTGCCATGCAGTGTCGATTACCGGCGATCAAGTCCAAGCGATCAGGTGCCGCTTAGGACTAAGGAAAGAAGGGGTAAGCGGGGGGTAACCTCACCGTAGCGATCCGACGACCGACTCCCTCCGGCTCCGGGTCCGCGTTGAGGTCGAGGCATCGCCGCGGCGCCGCGTCCTTCTGCTCCCTCTTCGCCCCGGCCGCGGCCGCATCCGACGCGCAAGCGTCAGCAGTGGCTCCGCCTTTCTTGGTCGCGTCGGCACCGAAAAAGTCCTCCCACGCGAACGCCGGGCTCCACTTGGGGCCCGGTCGGGCGTCGCGCATCCGGCGGAGGATGGCGAAGAACTCCTCGACCTCGTCGTCGGTCACATGGGAATCGCCCCCCGTCGCAGCGCGCGGGTTGGACGGGCGGCGGTAGTCCTCGTCGCCGCGTCGCCTGCGTTTGGAGGAGTCGTCCATGGAGCGGGAGACCGCACGGCTTCGCTCTTCACCCTCACCGCTCGCCCTTTTAATAGGAGTTAAAGGGAAAGAACTTGTGAGCTTCGCGTCACCGGATGTACAATGTGATGACGCCATAGTACTTGTGAGCTTCGCGTCACCGGATGGTAAAGATTAGAGTCACCAAAGAAGCTTAGTAGGTAGGTCAAGAAGGTCTTCTTCATAGGTGCGAATCTTAAAGACCGCACTGTACAACGTTGCCAAGTGAAGGACAGAATCACTGCCGCATAATACAAGGCCCGTGTTATGGTTGAGGTAACCATAGCATTATAGAGACAGACCCCTTGTACTGTCCAAAGCTTAATTTCTCTCCTATTTCATAATTTATATCCATTTTTACACCCTTGACATAAATGTTACAACAATCTACCTTTGATTTCGAGTACCGGAATCGCATTTGGCAATATCGAGCTAACAATCAAACTTGGCATTAATAATAACCAAACTAATGATTAATATATATATTTTTACATTAAAATCAAATAAAGATCATCAGAATTTACTCGTGGTAAGGGAGGAAGATGTTCACCGACACCAATTTGGACGATTTGTATTAACTGAATATTTCATTATATTAATATTTATTTAATTATGATGTCTGATTGACTATTATTTATGACCAAATAAAATATGATGTTTTAGCATAACCTATTCCCCACTAATTAATGTCATTTATTCTCATCGGACACCACAAGCCACCATAGAAGAAGAGTAGCTATGCTACTCTACCAAGAAACCTCAAGATAATTCTCAATCCTCTAAATAAAACCTTCAAATATCTCTCTATTTTTATATTGAATTAAGAACATCCTTGACTACTCTTCTTGTATGACTCTTTGCCCAATTCGACTATTCCATGACAGTAGAGTTTAAGATGAGTTTTGATCTAAAGAAAACAACCTGAGTTGGCTCTGAATTGTAATTCATTAGACATAATAGAAAATTTTAATTTTTAATTTAAATTTATTATTCTTCAAGTAACTGATAAATTAAATGTATTAAATTATATTTTTCTTTTTTATATATCACGAATTACCACAACCAAATAGTCCTTTGTACTAATCAAGTCTTGTGTCTTCTTCGATTGTTTGCGATTCTTGTGTCTTCATTGCAACAATTATTTATAGACAAGTCTGAAGTCGTCACTGCTTTGATGGATGGAAACAGCAATTGTTTCGAGGAGGAGGACTTGCAATGCATGCTGCATGGCTTGGGCTTCTTCGCCTAATCAAAGACCCATTACGTAAGCTGCAGGGATTGCTCGTAAAGCTGTATATCCTAACTTCAATGTTTCTTCTTCTTTAAATGATATATATATTATTTATCTATCGTCCAATGTTTTAAGCTGTGATATATATATTGTCCCCCCCACTTCTCGTCCTAATAATGTCACGCGTTTTAGGTTGCATGTCACCACCGGCTTCACCCTCGTTAGACAGCTAGGACATGATTGATGTTGCCATTTATCGGCATTCGCAAGGGTAAACATCAACCTCTTTCCTCGCCCAAGGTTAAGTGTGCATGCTATGAAGATTATAATTATCTTTTGGAGCAATATTAAGGATTAGTGATAAAGTGTTCCATCACTAAAAATTCTAATGTAAACTTTAGTGACGAAATAAGTATGAATATGATATGATAAGATTATTTTATCCTAGTTTAAGATGTGTCTATAAATAAGCATAGTATCTGTAAGATGTGTAAATCAATTGGATTTAGAGTATCAATGTTTAGAGGAGTCAATTCTAGAATCAAAATTTGAGATGGTTGTAAGTTTTTTGATAAGTTCAAAATAGTCTTCTTATTTCTGTCGATTTTCTTTTTACGGTAATAGTACTATATTTTTGCTATTTAAGAAAGAAATAAAGTTGCATGTAATCCTCTTTTTCTTCACGGATGAAACGTTGCTTTTCGAAGAAGAAAATACATTCAGGTGAGCTTTCTATATTACATCAATAGAGGGGAAAAAATAATAAATAAATTTTTAGTTGTTGAATAAATGAAGATTGATTAAATCTTTAATGTTCAAAATAGATTGATTCGATCAGAGGAACAAGTGTTTGAAGATTAAAGTAAAATCCAAGTCAAATTGATAAATGTAAATATCATACTCTTAGTCTCACCGACTAAAGTATGATGTTATTTTTTAATTCTTTTACTAATATCAATAGGAGTGTGACGAAAACATAGGTAATCTAAAAATTAAAATATATTCATTTACTAAATAAAATGATAGGGTTCCTCTTATACATAGTAATTTTAACACACAGATATAAATTATAACCTCTAACCAAAAGAAAAATATACTTATATAACATGTCCAAAGATTATACGCATATAAATGTCTATAGGTTATTGTTCATATCTATACTAGTATAAACTTACACGTGCTCACTTCCTGATCCAATCACTTGGGTAGACTATTAGTATCTTTACCTATAAAATAGGGCTTATAATAAGGAACCACTTAGTAAATATAAGTCTTTATAGTTTTATTTATGTAAGCATGTATCATGTGATATATATATATATATATATATATATATATATATATATAATTAATTAA